GCCTTGCCAGCTGAAGCAGGGAACTGGCTAAGGCAGCTGCACCCTGGTCCAACCATCACAAAGCAAGAGACCCAAGAACTAGAAAGGCGAGGCTCACCAAGCCATTTATCCCTCTGCCCTTCAATTAACCCCACCTGTGTTTATCAGCCAGGTTGGCACAATAAACTACCTCAGTGGGTGCAGGGAGAAAGCATTAAAGAAATAGAGCAGCCATTCTCAACCTGTGGGTCATGACCCTTTTGGAGGTCAAACAACCCTTTCACAGGGGTCGCCCAATTCATAACAGTAGCAAAATTACAGTAAATTGTTATGTGATTACAAAATTACATAACAATAGCAAAATTACCATAAAATTATGAAATGGCAACAAAAATAATTGTATGGTTGGGGAGCACCACAAAATGAGGAACTGTATTAAATGGTCATGGCATTAGAAAGGTTGAGAACCACTAAACTAGAGGAATGTGTGTGTTTTGTCCATGCTATACTGCATCTGGCTGTCTCGCCCCTTCCTTGTGACCCTTCTGTGAGGCGATGTCCAATTGTCTACAGATGGACTTTGGGTCTCCACGCCAACCCCACTTGTTCACATCAATGTGATTGCGTTGGATCTTCTGATGGCTGATATCTGATCCTGTCGACACCTCGTGATCACACAGGCTGGTGTGCTTCTTCCATGTGGGCTTTGTTGCTTCCCTGCTAGATGGCTGCTTCTTTAACTTCAAGCCTTTAAGACCCTAGATGCTATATTTTCTAATAGCGGGCACCATCAGCTTTCTTCACCATATTTGATTATGCACTTGTTATGTCTTCAGCGATCATATTGGGAAGGTGATCATCACAGAATGTCAGGCTATTAGAACCTTTAAAGTTTTCTTGCATTGAAGGATGATTAACTCGTTTATCTAATGTCTTCTTTTTCCATTCATCGAAATTATTTATTCTATCAATGTGCCATGGACAACCTACTACAGTAGTTTGCATTTCTGGTGTGTTCCACTGTGAGAATAGAAGAAAGGAGATAAAATGAGAAACATGCTTGTGGATCTGCACAATATGACAAGAGCATGTTGTGCATAAGGTGATCTCTTGTGAGTTGAGAAGAGATCCCAAGAGAAAAATGTACTTCAGGAACCCGGAGTTGCTCAATTATAGCATGCTGTGTACTTCCTGGTATCTCCCCATCTTTACACTGTCATGTTACACACAATTCATTCTTTACACAAAAGCTTGCAAGGATTAAGGACAACTTTATAATGTGCCCCAGCACCCCCACTGGCAAAGACACTATTACTAAGCCAATACAGTGGGTAACCACACTTGAAAGTAAAAGAGGTTTACAGAGATAACACTGCAACTCCCTCATTTATAAGCTAAAAAAGCAAAAGAGAAATGGTTTAATAATGGAATTTCCAAAGCTATAAACTTAAGTTCAAACCAGCAAGGTGTTGAGATTTGAAGCCCCAGGGAATGTTATCTGGGAATTGTCTCCACCCAGATTGCTTCATCTCCAAGTTCTACCCAGGAGTTAACTAGTATTCTTTGTCATTAGTGTTGGCTCCAAAGAAACTAAAAAGTAGGTGGGACAATTAGTTTACATTTATCTGTAATGAGTCTCTCAGGGACTCTTGTCCCAGTGGTAATGGAACCTCCTGTAAATGCCCCCAAACATCTTCTCTACACGCCGGACCAATTCATAATCCTCTTGTCTTCACTCAATCAGGTCTTATCTATATTTCCAGAATTTCCCAGTCTTTAGAATGCAGTGGAGCATTGATCAAGCCAAAGTGACAGCCCCCACTTCTCCCAGGTAAGACAATACCAGTGCAGTTAGCAGTATTTATTTACTGAGGAGTAAAATTTAGGAACTTCCTCTGCTACTTCTCGCAGATCCAACAAACAATAAAAGGAGCTCTGAATCCATCAGCTAGCTGCTGAAGCTTCTGATGCATCCAGTAATCACTGACCCTATCTCTTGTCTCTTTAGAAGTAATTAAATTCCCAGTGATGGAAACTGGGAAATGCAATACAGACCCACAGAGCCACAGACTTGGATTGTGTGTTTGCCAAATGGTTTTCTTTCTTTCTTTCTTTCTTTCTTTCTTTCTTTTTTTTTTTTTTTTTTGGTCTATATGGTTTTCAATGTAAAACATATAAAGCAAGATTCAATGAGTCCTATAGCAATAGCATCAGGGTTGACTGTGGGAACTTAGGTGTGCAGGTAGTGTGGACAGATCTTTTCTTAGAAATTCTATTAATAAATGTTCAATATAATCCATCCTGGAGCTTAATTTCTCACATTTTCACCATCCATGTGTAGGTTTCTGAATTTGCTGTTGTGAATTAACCTGGTTCCCTACTCATGAGTGGGGAAAATCAGTCAAGTGTCTCTGAGTTCATGCTCCTGGGACTCCTCACACAGTTCCAGGAGCAGCAGCAACAGATCCTCTTCGTGCTCTTCCTGAGCATGTACCTGGCCACGGTCCTGGGAAACCTGCTCATCATCCTGGCCATCATCGCAGACTCCCGCCTGCACACCCCCATGTACTTCTTCCTCAGCAACCTGTCCTTTGTAGACCTCTGCTTCTCCTCCACCACCGTCCCCAAGATGTTGGCCAACCATATACTTGAGAGTCAGACCATCTCCTACACTGGGTGTCTCACACAGCTGTATTTTCTCATTGTGTTTGTCAACATGGACAATTTCCTCCTGGATGTGATGGCCTATGATCGCTACGTTGCTGTGTGCCACCCCTTACACTACACAACAAAGATGACCCCTCAGCTCTGTGCCCTGCTGATGGTTGGATCGTGGGTCACTGCCATTCTGAATGCTCTGTTGCACACCTTACTGATGGTTCCACTTTCATTCTGTGCAGACAACAGGATCCCCCACTTCTTCTGTGATGGGAGTCTCTTGAAACTCTCCTGCTCTGACACATATCTCAATGAAATGATGATTCTCATTGTACCAGGACTGATCATGATTTCTCCATTTATTTGCATCCTCATCTCATACATCCTTATTGTGTGTGCAGTCCTGAGAGTCCCGTCCACAAAGGGAAAGTGGAAAGCCTTCTCCACCTGTGGCTCCCACCTGGCTGTGGTTTCCCTCTTCTATGGCACCATCATCACCCTGTATTTCAACCCTTCATCCACCCACTCAGCTGAGACAGATACTGCAGGGACTGTGATGTACACGATGGTGACCCCCATGCTGAACCCCTTCATCTACAGCCTCAGGAACAAGGACATGAAAGGGGCTCTGAGGAAAATGGTTGCCGTGGGATTTTTCTCTGCTTAATAGTGGTGTGCATTTTGAATATCACCGAAGGGCAATAGGTCTAGTAGAATCCTGTTTTCCCACTGTATGAAACCTAGTAGTTTTCCTGGGTAAGAGGTCCATCCATGTACTAATCAGATGAGAATGAAACTCTGCCATTTCACAAATGCCACATAAATTTTCCAGTGGCATTTCACAATGAGTCCATGTCTCTTCATTTTTTGTTTAAAAATCTATTGTCTGCCAATATTCTCTTCCATTGTGTTCAGTTCGCTCCCTTTCTGGTACTCCAATTCCCTTCCTCCTTATCTTCTCATCTTAGCTTCTGGGTAATTCTGACCTTTTCATTTCATACACTTGGGTTTAATATAGGACAGAAGCCTTAGGGAGTCCTCTGTTCCCTGTTCTTTCGGGTCATCTGGCTTTTCTATTAAAACAAGAATTTGAATTCTATTATGTGTTTTCTTATTTCACATCCTATCTAGGACCAATTATTGTGTGCTGGTTGGAATAGCCTGCGATGGTAGCAAGGCACCATCTAGTCCTGCTGGACTCAGAGAAAATGAGGTTGTGGATCATTCAGCCTTGTTTCTTCTTTGCTCTGTTGGTTACTTGCTTATTGTTTTGCTCCTGCCAAGTAGAGAGTCAAAGTGGTGTCTTAGATGGTCATTGGCAAGCTTTTCAGACCTCAGACTCTACTGACTTCCGTAGGCTGTAGATCATGAGTTTTGTGAGCATGAATCTCTTGATACAGATGTTTCAGCTTATTGGGGGAAAAAAAGCATTCTTTTTGCCAAATGACCAGACTATTCCAATAGTTAATACCTTTCTATCAATACCAGAGACGGTTTGGATAGAAACCATCTAGCTAAATGGTTTCTTTACTCATTACATGGCAAAACATAATATGGAGGAAAATCCTGGGTGGGATTTCTTAGGAGAAGGGTACTAGACAGAACCCATGGAATTTTAATTAATGTGAGGTGAGAGTAATCACTGCTTTGTTCTGGATTAGATGTTGCTAGAAGAGACTGCTAATGCTTAGAGAGCATGTCAGTATCTTGTCTAGAAGAAGGGAAGGCTAGAAACAGTCGACAGCTGGGATTGGTAAGGAAAATCTTCACTCATATCTCAGGATAGGAGATGTCTGTGACTTAAATCATGCTTATTTTCCTGTCTGCTGTCAGACCTAACGACAGTAGTCTTATTTTTCCATGGTCCATCCTGGTCACAGAGTGACCTTATTTGTTCTATGGAATTTTCTACATCCAAAGGGGGCCCCAAAAGTCCAGCCATGAGGGTCTGCCCAAGTCCTGGCTGTCTCTCAAGAGAACTTGACATGTGTTCAGCTGAAGGGGCAGGAAGAAGAGTTCATTCACAAATCCAGGGAATCCTGCTTCTGCCATCCATTCAAGTCAATTACGTTCACCTTCGTATCTGCGCTGTACGTGCCCTACAGCACGACATGAGTGACTTAAACAAGAACAATCACCCTCAATGCCCAGCCATGCTACCTTCTGCATTTTCCCAAACTGTGAGCATGTCCTCGGATGTTTTCCCAGAGAGAACTATTTATATCCTGATGTTTCGATTTCATTTTGCAAACAAGCCTTCTGCAAATTGGTCCACCGTCTCCACAGTCAAGTTCCTCTGACACAATTTACTCACTTGTGACTTTATTCTGAATTACAGCATAATAGAAACGCAATGTTGAAATGTGTCATTTGAGATTTAATTTGAAAATGCAGAAATAAGAAATATTTCAAATTGGCTAAAACCATACTGAACAAGCTGATGTGTCTTTTGAGGGAGAAAGCGGGGAATGAGGCCATTTCCCTTAATTTTAGAACGATGGGTAAGGTAATATCTTAATTGAAAACTGGCAGAAATTAGAATCAAAGGCTGTTTCTGAGTTTAGTATATGACCTGCCTTATATTTATAAGAACTATGTAGTAAGGTTTATGACTCGAAGAATACATGGCATGTTTTATATACTTTAGTCTAAATATCCACAAATTCATAATATGATTGAAAGTGTCTGTTCCTGACAAGTTTGAAAGAAATCCACAGCCTGTGGTTTGTATGTGAACATGTATATAGGGGTGGGGACCAAAAAAGGATATGGTGTCTTAAATGTATTCTTCAATGATTGTCATCGTTAGAGCCCATCATTTTGGCTCTGACTCCTAGCAAGCCAATGTGCAACAATATGGAACACTGTCTCATCCCATGCCGTCCTCCCAATCGTTACTATGTATGATGTGATGGGAAATCCACTGGGTCAATAAGCATGATATCCTTTTCTATGAGTTGGTCTCTCCTGAAAACACTGACAAAGTCAATGAGAGGAAATCTCACCATCCTCACTTCTAAGGAGCAGTCTGGCTGCACTTCATCCAGGATAAATTTGTTTGTGCTTCTGAAAGTCCATCATGGTTGACCCCTCAATTTGTATGTCATATTACTTTTTCTTTCATGTATGTCCATTTTTGTTACTTTTATATTTTACACAATGCCATCATGTACGTCACTAGATGTACATGTAATTGCATTCACATGTAATTATTGTGTAGGTACACTTTCCACATATAGTAAAAGACCATTTTATTGTTTGTTATTATTATTTTTATTTCTACTTTTATTCCTTTTTAGACCATATTTGGTAGAGGTTGGTATCCATTAACTCTTACACACCAATTCCTGAATGAATTAACCAATTTCATTAATTATATACGTTGAAAAATGTACTAATTTTATCTGAGTATTCTTGACCTCGTTTCCCCTGTAAACTTATGTTTTGCATGGGGTTTTTTTGTTTTGCTTTAAATTTTTTATTATGAATTGCATGAAGGTGTAGGAAGCAGATCAGTTTTCCATTCAACAATGCATACACATTTTGTTTCATCTCATTGTTTGCAATACCCACAATGGAACATCACCATTCTTTTCCTATGTTTCCTATTTCTATTCCTCATTCTTTTCTAACGCTTATGAAATTTGTCCTTGGGTAAATGCTGCCCTTTTTACCTCAAATGGTTGGCCATGCTAAGCTTATGCATACCTTATTTTTATTGTTCCCCTTATACGTGATCTATTGTTTTTGCTGAAAATTGAGGGCCATGGTCTTAGGGATCCTACTAGACTCTATCCAACCAGTAATCTGGTCTTCTTTATAATTTTGAGTTTTATTTGACTTTTTCTCCCATTCTATCCAGGACCTTCTAATGTGATCCCTTTCAGAGCAGCTATGGTCTCAAGGTGGTGGAGTCTGGTGTTCACGCATGATTCATTCGTCCATGCAGCTTTGATTTTCCTTCTTCTTCTTCTTTCTTCCAAACAGGGAGAGACCAAAATTGACACCGTAGATAACCACTCGTGAACTTTTAAGACCCCAGTCGCTACACACCAAAGTAGGACTTATAACACTGTCTTTGTAAAGTATGTTACACCAATTGACTTTGGGGTCCTGGAAGCCAGTCCGGAGCCTCCAGGCCCAGTGACTTGTTGCCTCAAAGTGTTTGGTTATGTCTAAAATGTTTTCATAATTTCGCCCCATGTATACCATATGTGGATAGATTTGCAAGGTAAGTAAATACACATATACAAATATCCTCTGTCAGATCTATACACATTCATGGGCATACTCCCACACCTGTGCAGCCTGCATCCCTATCCGGGCATCTACTCATACAGCAGCATGACTGCAGGATTCCTTACGGAACAGTATTTACCTCTGTAGCCTTTAACCCTTGCACTCCTCCCCTTGTGTCCCATTGCCTCCTTCCTGTTTTACTGACCTCCCTCTTATTTCCATTTCCTTTCTTGTTGCAAATGAGTACAAACCTTTTTTCTTATTTTTTAAAATTTTCCAATCTGACCTATAGCTGCTTGTCTTAAATTGTTTTATAAATCTAAAATATATTGATTCAAGGAGCTGATACCAAGGGCTCAAGTAGAAAGAAAATGTTTAGAAAATGATGATGGCAACATATGCACAGATGTGCTTGCAACAATGGATGGATGTATGGATTGTGATAAGAGCTGTGCAAGCCCCCAATAAAATGATTGGAAATATAATATGTATTATATTGATTCAATAAGAGATTCCTAATTAACATTTATATATACATATATTCCTAATTAACAAATATATATATTGATTCAATAATAGATTCCTAATTAACATTTACTGGACATGTCAGACATCTTTTCACAAATAATACAATATAGCTCTGCTAGTTTATATTTTGCCTTTTGGTCTTGTTCATAATTTTTTATGTAAGAATCATTATGTTTTTATGTAGAAACGTAGAAAGCATTTCTTTCATGGTTTCTGCCACTTTTCTTGTCATTTATTTTTTCCTCCCCCTCGGCCATTATTATTTAAATCTCCAGCTATATTTTCTTTTCATTTTAAAGTTTTATACTTAATTTTTTAATAGATATGTAATCAAAATAATTTCATTTTCTCATATATTTGCAAAGTTGTCTCAGTTCATGTTTAATATCCTTCCCTTTTCTCACTGATTTGTAATACCACTGTTAACATTTGCAAAATGCTCTTGTGTTGAATATGTGTTGAGAACCTACTATTTTCCAAGAAATTGATCAAGTCTTTTCTCTACAGTGTTGATTTTCATCATTGCAATAATGAGGTGTCATTACCATTCCCACTGAAGATATCCTGACTTCAGAGCGATTGTGTGGTTGGTTTAAGATCCTTCAGTAAGGTTGAGAGGAAGCCAAGGTTTCTGACATGTCCAACTCTATGATCAAGTACCTTCTCTGAGAGAATCTGTGAATTCACTTATCCAAGGACAAGTAAAAAAACATTGTATTAGGGATCGAGTTCATTCATGCACAAGTTTATCCCAAACAAAACGTGGTTAAACATCTCTCTGTGATCAGAGAATAGCTACAGAGAAGTTCTCTCCGTGATATTCATGTCCTTGCCTCATTAGATACCTTCTGAAAAAAATGGATATTTTCTGTGCCAAAGTGAAAATTCCTTTTGAGGTCA